TGTGGTGTTTGTTTCTCCATTCTTGTCTGTTTCTACTGTCAGTTGTACAGGGAAGAATTTTATTTTCAGATAAGATTAGAATGGTGTAAGGATAAAAAGCTCTTCCTTCTTTCTCAAAGGTCCAAGTGGTAGCAGATCTGGACTCTGATTTACACAGATGCTCTGAACACTCCCAATACTAGACAATTTAGTTCCTTCCCGGAGGAGGTAGAACAGAAACTAGGAGATACTCAAAGGACCTGAGACCAGGCCTGGGCCTATTATTTTTTAGGAGTAGCCACCTCTGTTAGAGTTATAAGCTTCTCTTTCTTGCACATATTTAGTATCTTCAGTTTTCACTTGCTAAATTGAATAATAGTTTGGTCTATGTTAAGGAGAATTATTAGGAAGATCTTTCTTGTACTTGGAAAAGCAACAGATGTGATTGCACTGACTGTTCTTTCTACTGAGATCTGGAGCTTTTAAAAAATTCATTATTGTTCTTTTTACAAATTCATTATTGTTCTTTTTACCACCTGCACTTCAAGGTGAGTTTCTATGCAGTTCTCCAGAATCTCTTCACTCTTAACATTACCTCAGGTCTTAGGTTTCAACAAGAGCCAGTTCTTCCTAGGAATTCTACATCTTTGGATATTGATGTATAAAGTCCATCATTTCTTCTCCAAGTTATAAAATAATCAAGGGTTGTCCTGAAGAGATGGTAGGGCCAAAATAAGGGATTATCTTCATATTCATAGAAGAATAACAATTTCATCTTTTCATGACCTAACATGTAGGAAATGGTCCCGAACTAATTGAAAAGCTGTACCTAGACAAAGTCATTTAAAGAATAATTATAATCAAAGTGTGGGCCACATGTGAACAAGAAACTTTCCATCCCAAAACTAGTGCTAAGAGAATAATAATTTGGAAAACAATTTACTTTCTATGTTGATGTTCAATCTGACAGAATTTTCCACCTATTGTTGGATTGTTAGTAAATGGAGAAGGGGAGAGAGGATATTCACCTACAGTCATACAGAATGAACAACTGTTATGTATCTAATATAAGGCATTATTATAATAGATGAGTAGCCAGCTTTTCTTTGTTTAAGGAATTTACTAGTCTAATTTCAGGATAAGGCAATTACACAAATAAATTTACACAAATATATTAGAAGCTCTAAAAAGATACAAATAAATAACTGGCAGTTCAGAGAAAGAAAACATTATTATGTATATCATAATCTGATAAAGCTTTGGGAAAGGGCATGATTCAGACAGATATGGAAGAATCACAACTTTTAGGATGAAAAAGGTATTACTAAAAAAAGAAAAAGTTTAGGCAAGTAAAAGGTTGAGACAGTACAAGTTAGAAAAAGAATGATCTAGTCTAGTAAGGGATTAGGGAAAGTACATGGCAGTAAACAAACAAATGCCACGGCATAGGAAGAGGCTTTGAGTGGACACTGGAAGGGCATTGAATGTTTGAACTATGGACATGGTTCTGTCAGTAAGCAATATGTAGGAAGAGTTGAATTGAAGCAAACAGAAGGAAAGATGGAAAGTAGGGGAATTACCTACATATTTCTTGCAACAATTTCACAGAAGGGTGATGAGATCCTCGAAAGACAGAATGGAAGCAATTAAGTGGAGAGGGTAATAAATTACCTCTTTCGGAGATTGAACTTGTTATAGCAGTTGCTACTAAATTAGCTAAAGTTTGGTTTAGACATATCTTTACAAATAAAAATGATAGAACCTAACAAGGCAATTTACAAGCTAACACTTTGAGAATAGAAAAATAAACACCTTATTTTAGTAAATACATTGAGTGTGATTATTAAATAACTATGATATTTCCACCAGGAAATTTTCTAGTGCAAGAAAACCTCCTATATGCCTCTGAGTCAAGAACATGACGTAAATTAAGTTCTAAGGATTTGCTAATGTTTTAAGATTTCAAACAATCTGAATTAGAGAATATATGAGAACTAATAGAATCAGATAGAAAATCAAATGGACAGGCTTTAATTTGGGACAGTCTTTTTTTAAATAAAGAAATATAAGAAAGTAGAAAGAACAGAGAAAATGGAGTCAGATAAGTTTAGGTTTTAATCCTGGTTTCAGAGGATGCTGGTAAGTTAGCTCACTGTCTTTCACCTAGATTTTCTCTTATGTGAAATCTGGATAACAGCACTACCTTTTTTACTTTATAAAAAATATAAGTAAAGTATCTGTCAAGGCCAGTTCATACTTTGGGCCTCAACTAAAGGTACTTAAGGTAAAGGAGGAGACATATTTGCAAGACAGTCAAACATAAAGAAGAAATGAATAGGAAGAGGTGAGAACAATCTCATACAAGAGGAGGAATGTTATCAAGAACTTTCCAATTACAGTCACATGAAAAGTATAATTAGCACAGTTTTCAGTGCCATGTCAGAGATGGTCAGTGTTCACCAGTGTTTTTCTCTTCTTTCTGAGCACACAGTTAGACACTGTCCAGCTCCCTTGCAGCAAGGCATGTCTGCATGAGGGACGTCCAGCTAATGGAATATAAGTGATAATTATGTGTGTCTCTTTGGGGACAAAACTACTAAAACCTGCACTTGTAATTCTTAGTCTTCTTCCCCATTACTGATTAAAAGAGCAGGATTCTAAAGTAGCAGTTCTCAAACTTTTTGGACTTAGAATTCCTTTATACTTTTTAAAAATTATGGATTATTCAAGAAGCCCAAATCAAACATCAAACAACAGACTTTGACTTGGAACATTTTTCAATGTGGATTCCAGCTAATGATATTTACTGTATTAAAATGTAAAAGTGAGAAAATATGTAAATATTTATTAATCCATTTAAAAATAAAGTCATTACATACTAACTTATATAACATATTTTATTCAAAGTAGCTATGATTTCAAAAAAAGGAAAAAGTGAGAACAACATTATTTTACAATTTTGCAAATTTCTTTAATGTTGGCTTAATATAAAATAGCTGGCTTTTCATATCTGCTTCTGCGTATGAAGATCCAGCCTCATACACACAATTAGTTGGAAAAGGAGTATCTTAAGATGATTTGGGATATCCTTCATCGATATTGCATGAAAGCTCATTGTTTCTTAAATCTCCTTGCAATATAGAATTTGAAACCACAATGATGAACTTATCATATTCTGTTACATTAAATTCCATGACTCTTTCTTGCATTTAAAATGGACTGTTTACCAATACATGATTTTATAATGTCATGCACTGGTCTCTTGGAAAATTTTGGTTCACTGAATTATACATATCCTTCGAAAATTGACACATTTCATTATAGAATATCAATATCATCATCCATCTTATCAGAAAAGCTTTAAAGTATTGGGAAGCTTTCAAGCTCAAGTTTTCCAAAATTCTAATTTTTACTTGAAATCTCAAATTTTACCACTTGTCACAAATACAACTTCAAGAAAGTTGTCCTTGAAGTAATTAGCTCACTCTATTAATATTTAAGGAAATTTATGCCAAGTATCCAAGTCTAAATTGTCTATTTTTTCAAGCAAAAATACTATTCCAGAGGGTGGGAAAAAAGATAAGTTCAATCTTGAAACTTAAACAATAGTACAAGGGCTTTTCGTCAGACAACTATTGTCTTCAGTATGTAGCAGAAATGCTTTATGCATCGTTCTCATTTCTTCATGCAGAATATGAAAAAGATTTGTATTCAAAAGTCAAGATCTATTAAAATCACTAATTATTCCTCCTTTATCAAGGACATTCTTAGGAGAAACTGGTGGTGTTCTGAAGGCAAGTGAGTGGCAGTGAATAAGACGTGACTACTACTACAATTTAATGCTACTGTTCTGATGTGTTAAGACAACAGCAGTTTTATTCACCATTGGGTTTTTATCATTAGTGACAATGTCAACATACTGAAAAAGACACATAATGTTCAAATATTATTAAGAAAATAGTTTTGACGTTGCAGATCACTCCACTTCAAGACCATGGACCATAGATTGAGAACTACTGATCTAAAGGAAGTAGAGTCACAGATGAATGGGATATGGGTCTTTGAAGGACTGGAGCAGAGCACAAGTGCCATCCCTTCCACCAGATATATATCTACACTGGACTGGGACATAAATCAGAAATAAACATTTATTGTTTAAGCCACTCAGTTGAGGCCAAATATTGCAATAGTAAGGCTTTCTGAATACAGAAATTGATATTTTGAAATTGGATGCTACTATGAGATAAAACTAAAACAGGGGGCATTAAGATCGTAGATGGCAAAAAGGCAGAAACTATGAGGCAGCAAAGCCCTATTATGCCTTTTCAATTATTTGGCAAAACTGTAACCAATGATAATTTGGAAAGCAGGTACCTGCTCACAGAACCTATAGCTCTATCAGAAGTGATAAGAAAGAACACGATCATGTGTGTCAGATGTTATTTTTATTTTTTTTAATTTTTATTATTTTTGAGACAGAGTCTCACTGTTGTTGCCCGGGCTAGTGCCAGGCCACGCAGCCTAGCTCACAGAAGCCTCAAACTCCCGGGCTCAAGCAATCCTCCTGCCTCAGCCTCCCAGAGTGCCAGGATTACAGGCGCGAGCCCCCTCACCCGGCCCAGACGCTATTGCTGTCTTCAGCAGAACACTACAAGAAAGAGATAAACTGAAACAAGAATTGGCAGGTTTGTTACTAGCAATGACAGGAAGGAGAAAGTCCGTAAATATGAAGGAATGTTAAAGACAACTACTTCTAGGCTCCAAACAATAGGCAACAAGACCAAAAAAGTTGTCTCTGAGAGTCACAGGTCTGCTAACACTCAGCCCTCACGGCAAGAGCGGGATTAAGGATGTAGCGGCCTCTCCAACCCCGCCTGGCGGCCTCAGGGTAGCAGGGACTAAGTAGAGAAAGACAGGCGTGCAGAGGAAAGAACGTTGGGTATAGTCACAGAAACAGAATTGACTGGAATGAAATACATCAAAAGCTTAAGAAACCTGAAACTACTTGGCCTCCAAAATACCTCTGTGGCGGTGTTCGCAGCCACGCCGCCATCACTCTCTAACGCCAGCGCCGCCTCTCGCTCCCCAGCTCCAGCCCAGCGGAGGGAGAAGGGGGTAGGGCGGCCTGTACACCACAGCCGGTTACAACGCAGGCTGTCGCAAATCCCCCTGTGGTAAAGCACCCCGCAGCAACTGGCCACGAAAGCCGCTCGCAAGAGTGCGCCCTCTACTGGAAGGGTGGGGAAACCTCATCGCCACAGGCCCCGTACCGCGGCACTCAGTGAAGTTACACGTTACCGGAAGTCGGCTGAACTTCTGGTTCACAAACTTCCTTCCCGGCGTCTGGTGTGAGAAATTGCTCAGGACTTGAAAACAGATCTGCGCTTCCAGAGCACTGGCTGTTGGTGCTTTGCAGGAGGCAAGTGAGGCCTATCTGGTTGGCCTTTTCGAAGACACCAATCTGTGAGCTACTCATGCCAAACGTGTAGTAATTATGCCAAAAGACATCCAGCTAGCACAATGCGTATGTGGAGAACATGCTTAAGAATCCACTATACTGGGAAAACATTTCATTGTCAAAAAAAAAAAAAAACTCTCTTCTCCCTGTTATTGGTAGTTCTGAACATTAGATATTTTTCCTCCAATGGTATTAAAAGGTACCTAAATATATGCTTGTGAGTGAAAAAATAGGGGACAGAAATCAGGTATTGGCAGTTTTTCCATTTTCATTTGTGTGTGAATTTTTAATATAAATGCGAGGATGTGAAGCATTAATGCAAGTCAAAATGTTTCAGTGAACAACTTTCAGCAGTTCAAGTTTATAACAATTATAAATAAACTTGTTAAAGTTTTCTGGGAAAAAAATAAATAAAATAAAATACCTCTGTTACCTCAATACTTGCATGTGCCAGAGGCAGGCTGTGAATATTGGCAGCCCCAAGAAAGGCCACACTCCCAGTGCTCACATCAGATCTGACAATGGAGGATAATGGAAAAGGGAGAACTTCCCAGAGCCTGGGGCTCAGAGTCTTGGGCAAGAATAGGTAAGTGTGTTCCTCTTAGACAGCAGAATTGAGATCTAATTAAGGAACATCCCTCAACCACCACCACCACAGAAGGGATCTTCCTATTCTATCTGAAAGTTTTCATCATGTTTTTCTTATTATGCCTCATCACTGTATATTATTGTTATATGGGGTTGTAGGCTACTTTTCTTATAGCTCTTAGGCTGCTGGCTCACAAGGAACCATGTCCAGATTCCATGAAAATAACTGCCTATTACTCAAGTCACTCTACTTTGACCAGGATCCGGTGACTAAATGCAATTGTAGATTACCTTTCTGGAGGAGGAGTATGACCTATATGTAGGAAGAAGAGGGACATAAACGTGTAATGTTAGGAAGAGTGGACTATAATAGTCATTACTCATGCTTATACTAACAGACCACCATCAGGGCCCAGATGCTGAGTCCAACAGACACAATCATTTCCTCCACTTATAGACTCAAGCTCCCACAAGGTCTCAGAGTAGTTCAGATTTTTTTTTTTATACTAAGTATAACTTCAGCTCACAAAGGTTTTCGCACCACACTCCATCCTTGTGACAATGTATTCTTCTTATATTTTCCCTCATAGTAAAGTCCATGAATGTATTTGTTATCAAGCCTTGGGAAAAAAAGGTTTTTCCATTAAGCTTTCATTTCTAATAATGATAAGTTTAAATAAGAGATTATTGAGTTAATTAAGGAAGTAAACTCATATAGGAATTGAAGCTTCAGCATGCTATTTTTATAAAATATTTTTATTTTAATAAACATTTGATTATGAGGATACTATTATGTATTTATATACAATATAGTACAACAAAAGACTTTCATTTAATAGGGAAATAATTGATCTATTAATTATTTTTGAATGTAAGTACAAAAGGCATATTTGTTTATAATAACCAAAAGGACTTAGACTTTACTAATGAAAATTATCTTACCAGATACCTAAAATTGACATTAAATTGAATTTATTGCACTATAATTCCAACCTTGAAAGTTATTTTAAACATATGCGATATTTCTTGCTAACTTATTAAAGGCAGGTGTTAAGAACTACTTTTCTTTATATACCTTGCAATGCTAACACAGCACTGTTTTCATCACTGGTACTAGAGAAATATTTATTGAATTCCTTTGGTAATCACATTTAAATTTTGCCTCATCTTTTTAATTTCAGTAAATTAATAAGAATCTGGGTAATCATAATTGGTGATTAAATCCTATCCTCTGGATAGGATTAAATCCAGGACCCAGAGAACTAAAATTCTCATTTTCTCCATGGTGAGGGGTAAATAGGGGGGTTAAGATATAGGAAATGATTGTTTCCTGATCATTTGTGATTTTCTCAATTCCATGTATGATAAATTATGAACAATATTTTCTTATCTTTACAATTATACTGTTTATTTTAAAAGAGCAATTTTCATTAACCTCACAGCCATCTGAACCTGAATTTTATACAATTGAATCTTAGACCCTCTCCCCTCAAACTTCATGCTTCATGAACAATTATAGGTATGTTCACATATATTAAATTGCATGTATACATATATTCTTTCATCTTGTTTCAAGAATGTACTTAGCTTAAAATGAATCCTCTTATAGTGGCTTAAATTTTTTTAAAAAAGCTCTTCTTTTCACATTATTAGGATTCTTAAAGTAGGAAGCTGTTGGTGTTGACTCAGTAGGGCAGTGTCAGCCCCACATTCTCTGTTATTATGCTGGTCTTTTCCTCAAGATGATGAATGCAACTTTCTTTCAACATGAGAAGAAGGAAGGAGGAACAGTATCAGCCACCTTTCACTCCTTGGAGTGAAAACACTCCAAGAACATCCCAGAAGTCTTCTGTGAAGGTTTCCTTGACCAGAGCTATTGTCACAAGGCCAACCCCAGCTATAAGGTAGATGGGGAAAATGAGAAAAAATTTTCATCCCTTATAGATGGAAGTGGCAAGGGAGAAGAGGATTAAGAGTGTTTGCTACAAAAGTGGTTTATAAATTCTTTATAAAAGTGCTCACTGATTTAAAAAATCTAACACTAATTTTAAAGCAAGAAGAGTAATTACATGGATCTATAGTTTAGCATATTTATATTTAGTCTGATTGCTTAATGCCAAATATTTGGCTCAGAGTTGGGAAAAGCAGAAGAAAACTACCCCACGCTCTTTGAAAGACACAAACACAATATACCTCAGCTAGTTTTATCTTTCCCCATGAGACAGCTTCTGGAGGTACCTACATATCACACTGAAAGACTTTTTATATAACCCATGCCTCACCCCCAAATTTGTGGCAAATTTGCTAGTCAGTCCAGGAATTAGAGGTACCTGGTGTTATTAGGAATTCCACACATTGCCACACAGTAAGTAGATTAGTTGCATTTTACAAATAAGACAGATCACACAAGTTGTTAAATTTCTGTATCCCTAAAGTCACACAGAAGTTAATAGGAGAGGCAAGATAAGTAATCAGTGCCAAGAAAGGGAACACAATAAAGACAATGAAAGTTGCCAAAGGGTGATTTTAAATCGCTCCTGTTCCTTCCTGCACAAAAGAGCACGGTCCAAATTGGTGCTTGGTCAGTGATATCAACATGTCACAGAGGCCAGGCTAAATAAGAGTTTTATCTGCCTAACTGCTAATAGGTAAAAATGAACACATTCCCCAGCTGATTTGCATTCAGTTTTAGTGGCATAGAAAAGAGTGATAACACAATTATCACATACTCCAGGGGTGTATTCTAATTGTATTTAACATTACTTGAAATAAATCAACAGTGAGATTGGATTTGGAAATTGTTTGTAATGATGAACAGTTTATTATTAAGCTTCTGGGTGTTTGTCTTTACAATAAAGTCTAAGAAGAGTATCAGTGTCTGTCACATTCCTTTTACATTGATATTCTATGTGCTGCTTCAATAACAAAGGTGATTAATAAATGCTTTTGACAATGTAAGTAAACCAATAAAATTTTTCAATGAAGAGTTTGCTTATGTACCTGATGCATCCATGTGTATTTCTAAATTAATATGAAATAAAAAGGGAGCAGTTTTGTGAAGAACAGAGCTGTTAGATGTATGATTAAATTAATGTTTCCAAACTTCTGAAATTTTATAAATAATAATTATTGGGTTCTCATAATCATATATTATATAAAAGTTCTTATATTTTCTCATTAGTCCTTACTGTTTTCCATGTTTTTAATGAAAATTCATAATTGTCTTTTATTATTCCTTTCTCTTGGACATGTATTTTTTTCTGCCATTTTATTCTGCAAATGTAAGTTAATGACTGGAAGTTATAACTGTATAACTGTAACTGGAAGACATATTTCCAGAATAATTCCTCTTCTCAAGCTTCTTCCCATAAATCAATTATAATTGTTTTGGGCAATCCACCAGAAGTTATCAAAATACTTCCATTTGCCAAATCTAGAAACATGTTGCTTTGCTCAACATTTGGAAATATATATTCACTTAATCAGCAAATATTTCAAATCATGTGCCCACTATACTCCAGGCATTGTGCTAGAGACTGAGAATATAACAGTGAACAAGGAAAGTTCTCCCTGACCTCACCAAGTGGAAACATAAGCAAAGAAGGCAAGAAATACAATATGCTGTGGTAAATAGCAACGGATATTCTGAGAATTCAGGGATATCATTTGAGAGAAACCTTATGCAGAGAAGAAGATGATGCTTGAGCTGAAACCAAAGGATAAGTGCTATAGACTCAATGTATCATCCCAAAATTCATATATTGAAACCCTAACCCTCAAAGTGATGGTATTAGGAGGTGGGGTCTTGGGGAGGTAAATAGGTCATGAACATGGAGCCTTTATGAATGGAATGAGTGCCTTTATGAGACATTTGGAGCAGGGTACATCCTAAGTTACTTGTGACTCCCTTATACCACTGCTATATTTCCTATATAAAATGTGTGTGAGAACACGATTAGAGAACTGATGGGTTTTTAAGTTCAGGGATGGTTTGACTAGCTCTGAACTTGTTCTAAATATACATTGTCCAAAGTGATGCCTCAGCAAAACCACAAGTTATTATGCCATAGACTTCTGAGATAGCTCCTTATTTAGTAAAAAATCTCAAATCTCAAATGTGCAAATGCTAAGGGCATTTTGTACTTGCTTTATGTAAAGTTTTTCATCAGACAATCAAAGAGAATTATGCCAGTTCAGAAAATTTGAGATCTATACATAAATATATATACGTATATAAATTTTTAAAGCAACTATAGCTTATCCACTTAAAAAGAGCAATAAAATTCTTTACAAGATTAAAAAAAGTAACTTTAGGTTTGATTTAAAATTTTTAAAGAATACTATTCTAACTCTCTGGCTTAGTATTGAAGTCATTCCCTACATCCGCATACTTAGTTTTTCAGCCTTAACTCTCATTGAGCCCTAGAATAACCCTACCTCCTAGTAAAAGCAGGTTTTCATTCTAAATAAATACAAACTCATGCCCTTTTACTTGTGTGTGTGAGTGTGTTTCTCATACCATATCATTACCTCCTCTTGGTCTACTGAAATATTTTCCATCTTTTAGAACCCAAATAGAATGTTCCCTTTTCTAGGAACTGTCCTCTAGTACCTGATCAAGTAGTTGTCTTCATCTAATCAAAACTACAGTCATATAGCATTTACTTGCATTGATTGTGATTATCAGTGTACACATCGCATGCCCCTAACTGACCCAACTACTTCTAAAGAAGAAATTGTATCTTATTAATTTTGTCATCCTCCATGGCATGTAATAAGTGCGTTACACAAAACGAGTTCTCAGTAGCTTTGTTGGCTGCATTCTATGTCTTTAATAGAATCACACAGTTCAATCAGGACAATCACTAAGGTAAGAGGACCCCTGCCTAGCCAGCCAGCCCAATCACTCTGATGTTTAATGGGGTTATGGGATACCATATGTCAAAAACCAGATTGCTCTCACTCATTTGCTGAATGACTAGTTTTAATACTTTGTTACATGTTCATGATGAGTCTTTTCTACTTTATTTGTGTAAAGTCATTTCATTAGTAGCAAATAGCTTAACTTTCTTTTACAGAGTAGGCACTTTTTAATTTGTATTATCTTATGTCACAAATCTTGAAGTGGCAGGAAATTCCCTAGAGCCACCTTAACACATGCTATCACCTATAACCTAAAGCAAGTAAACCCAGGGGCCCAGGGGAATGGGATGATTTGTAGATTTAGAACTACTTATATGTTGGTAGATTTAGAACTACTTATAAATAATTACAGCAAAACCCATAAAATAATAAAAAGTGATGCCCAACACATCATAGTCCTTCATCAAAACTTAATCTATCATGTGTTTTATTTTCCCAGGGTGCTGTTCTCTGCTAGAGCCAATCCAATAAACCAAATCATTAAATCAAGTTAAGGTATTAATGACAATGTTTTTCTAGTTCTGCATTTTGAATCTTAACAGAGGACGTCTATAACTCAACTGCCTCTCACCAATCGAGAGGACTATTTGGGATTTTACAAGCTGTAAATTCATTTAAAAGGCCAATATAAAACATCACATTATTTTTTATTGACACATTTAAAATGAAAAATAATTATCTTTTGAAGACCAAAATTAAAATGTCAGTATTTAGCTCTGTGGGGCTAGGATCAAATCTGAATTGACTTGGCCAAATGAAATAAAATTAGTAGACTGCTTAATTTTTGAGAGATTTGGGGTTTTAAATTTTG